ACCCGTTGCGGTCGTCTCTGGGCGGCAAATGGGGAGGACCCGGCGTGGCCGGGGGGGGGGGGGGGGGGGTACTCATAGTCGTGCATGCCGTAGTCGTTAGACCATTGACCTCGCATCCCTACAAAGCCGGGGCGGAGCATGCCGGGTTCTCACCGGACCAGGCTCTGGTGTGGCTGGGGGGGCGGCTTCTGCAGTCCACCAGCTTCTAAAACTGTAAAAAAAAAACTCTCTGGGTAACACGTATTACGATTTGATCACATTTGCACGCAAACGAAAGCAACGACGAACAACGTTCGAATGAATTATCGTGGCCAGCGAATGTTGCGTTTGAATCCGCTTGACTCATTTTGCTGGCGTCGTGGGCCCGTATGTGGAGACATTCCGGTGCGTGTGATGTGGATGGGGGAACAGCAGTGTGCTGGTGCCATCGTTGCCGCCACCAAGGATACCTGCTTCTGACGCTGCCGCTGCTGCTGCTGCTGCTGCTGCTGCTAGTGTGTACAGGAAAAGGGATGCCAAATGGTGGCACAATCACTGGGCCTTTTCCTCCACGTCGACACGCTTTGCATCGGCTTATGAAAGCTCGGCGTGAACACGATGCACTCACCGGAGAGTGAGCCATCCCTATTTTTTTAGAGAGTACGTTATACATGATCTCACAGCAAGACTACCCGTTCGAGATACTACCACAATACCACTGTCAAAGGGATGTGTTGAAGTCTTAGTCTTTACAGCAGTGAGTGGGAAGAAAGCCGGCTGGAAAGTGGATAACTCGTACGGTCGTCAAACCCGGCAAGCCCACCATGAAATTGATACCACCACAGCAGTTATTGTGTACTCATCGACAGCAGGAAACCTAAACGTTGCAAAATACGAAGCATGAAAAAAACTCGCATTTGACGGTCACAAAATTGTCGGCACACCCCCCTCCGAGAGATATCCGCGTGCTTGCGGATAGCATGATGGCATGTCATGTTGACGCCCGTGTACACAAAGGCGGGGAAATACAACTGCTTTGTAGTAAAATGTGGTTGCACCTTGCTGCCCGCGACAAATACTCTACGACCCAGGGTCCAGCAAAAACAAAACTGAGGGTAAAATGCAACATGTCTTCAGTAAAGCGTTGTCTATTCTAGCCTCATTGGGCCAGCCGAGGAAGATACAACGGCGGCCGTGTTTAGCGCGAGCCGGCTAACGGCAGCATTATTTTACCATTATTTTCAAGTCTGATCAACCACTGCCATTGCTCACACCGCAGCAGCTGCGCCGAACTTGTCGTCTTACCTCCTTCTCCTCAACACCCGACGGAATCTTGCTGCCAGAAATCCTCAACTGTACAATCCCGGCACACTGCTGTTCTCGCACGGGCGGTTGGGTACTGGGCACCAGCGCTCAGAGAGTTGCTTCAGGAGCCCCGTGCCGAGGCGGCCGCGCTACGAAAAGCGGCGCAATTTGGACGAAAAGGGGCTCCGCAGATGTAATGCATACCCCTCGTCCTTCTCCAGGCCGACAGCGTGAACCCGCCGCGTGCAACGAAGAGTGAAACAGCAGTCAGGGACACAGGGAGAGAGACCACAAATACAGCGCGCCTACGACAGCAAAGTCAAAGGCTTGTGCTGTGCACGCGGTGTGCACGCAGCATCGCACATCGGCGTCTAGCGGGAGATTAAATTCTGTCCGAAGCCGAACATATTTTTTTTGTCTCCGCTCTGGAGCACATCAACAACGCATAGACTACGGGGTAAAACAACAAGAACAACAATGGCGCTTGAGGAGCTGTCCACCACCGTGAGCAAGCTGACGTTCAACATCTTTGGCTCCGAGTCCGAAAGGAAGGTGCGTTGTGGACGGAACAAGGGGGACGGAACAAGGGGGATGAGAGAAGTGACACAGCGGCGAAGAACTCAACTGGTTGAACAACAAGAGAAGAGCTACACGTGAAAACGTACGCATACAATGTGCAGCAGTACCGCAGGCGTCCAGAGTCGTTCGCGGCTGCACTACACTACAACGGGGGGATTCACCAGCAGCCAGCCCTCCCCCCGTGCCTACAGTCTAGCTGCACGTAGCTCGCTGTTGTTCGTGAATGGATACCCGAAATCATATCTGCAGAGAGCATTCTGATGTCCGCCCTCTTCCCCCCCCCCTCATAAATGCATAGTTTTGCCGAAACATCAACATGTCGGAAACCGCGTTGTTCGGCATCGACCCTCTGCCTCCATGCGGAGATAGATGTGTCGACTTGGGAATCTCCGTTCGGCCGCGAGGCGCTGTGTGTACTCGAAGGGGATACCTCCTACGAGTGCAGGCAAAGACTGCTACGCACGACGAGCCAACAGATAACAGACAACACACATACAAATGATGGAACCTATCGGGCTGCGGGGTAAATCAAGGATCAACCGTACCGGAAGTAGACAACAGTATTTCCAGCGACTACAATGCACACGGAGATGGGGGATGCGTACCTCCTGTACTGCTGTACGAACCCAGGAACTTGCCAGGAACCGAGAGAGTGCTTGCAGTCTCTTCGCCCCGCCAACAGTAGCAGCAGGACGTCAAGGCGTGCTGTACATGCTACCAATATTTGTATTTGTACATAGACATGACCACAACAGTGTTGTTGCGCTCGTGGCGTCCTTTGGCGTGAAACTCGGCTGTCAAGCCATCCTCGTCTTGATTTAGCGACTTCGATGCTTGTTGCTAGAGAATCGAAACTTCACTCACCCGTTCCAGGCCAACATCCCAATCGACAGGGATGTGTTGTTGTTGTCGTTGCTTTGGAGGATACACACATGCGATCTCTCAATGATATGGCGGTACTCGGTCGACATAATATGTACTTCGAAGCGCCGCAGGCGACGGTAGTCTTGTGTGTTGAATTCTTTCCAGCAGTGAATGGGGGAACAGGAGCCTGCTGTTTTGTGTTTGGCAGCTTCTTGAATTCAATACAACACCTGAATGTTGTTGCCGTACGGACATCCGCCCGCCGCCCTCGGCCAGGTCGGCAGCTTCCTGTTCAACGAGAAGGCCGAGTGGGCGACTTCGCGGGAGCTGCACGGCCTCGCCGCCTTGACCTTCAACGAAAAGGAGTGCGCCGGCGTGATGGCCGTGATCGGGAAGGCCCTCAACCCCAAGGACAGCACCTGGCGCACCTTGAACAAGGTGAGGACGGGGGGTGCAAAAACATGCCGAAGTGGTTAGACCATTGAACTCGCATCGCCGGGACGGAGGAGCGCCGGCCCAGGTTGCGTTTCACAAGCTGGTAATCATGCTTGGTGAGGAAGGAGCCGGTTTTGGTTGTAGCAACAGTAGCAAGTGGTCCTATCGATTCATCGCTATTAGTGTACCCTGGGCTGCTCCTGTGTTGCTGGAAATATATGTATTTTTGTTCTAACATCAACACAACGAACCCATACCTTTTTGCTGGATATAGATCGTTTTGTTTCCGTAACGAGAGAAAAAAAAATACTTTGGCTTTACTTGTCGGGTCGGCTTTCTCTCGGAGGAGGTACGGTGCAGTGTTGCAATAATGGGTTGCGTTGTGGCGACGTTATTTTCATGCGCTGTCGCTCGCTGCCTGTCGCTGTGTCGCTGGCTGGGATGCCACTGCCATCTAATGCTACTGCTGTCGAGGCTCTTCTGATGATTATGATGATGATGATGATGAAGATGATGCCCTCTGCTGCCGTTTATCGTTGCCCCTGATCGATCGCTCTTGGACTAGGCGGTCAGACTCCTCCGCCACTTCGTCTTGTACGGTGCAGAGAGATGTGTGGACCACGCCTGGGATCATCAGCGACGGGTGAGGGATGCCACACACTGTCGGTTTTTGTGTGTGTGGTTCCTTGGGCAGAGGGGGAGAGGCGAACTCATGTTTTGCTTGCCTTAGTTGTTAGGCCACTGACCACCCGTCCTCGAGAGGACGGAGCATTGTTCCTGCTAGACCGATCACCGATGGCCACGCGTTCCTTCCTACCCTTCGCCAAAGGCTCCTTGGGGAGAGGGGGTGGAAGAACAACGTTGATGCACATTGATGTGTTTTTCAGGCAGAACCAGTGTTCAAATATATGTAAAACGGAATCCCGTCCTATCAAGTCGTATTACAGTTGTGTCAAAGCGGATCTACCGAGGAGGTAAAGTCGTGGTCTACGGCTGTAGCGTTTTGATAGTCAAGGCGGGGGGAAGACTCCTTTGTTGCTTGCCTTCTCTCTCTTGACCGTTGACCCCGCCCCTCCCCCATGAGGGAGACAGTCGGGAGAGGGGGCTACGGCGTGTACAGAACGTCTTGCGAATTGTATTAGAGTCTCCGATCGTTATTTAGGGAAATGCCGCTTGCGAAGATCGTCTCACAAATTGAAGCCTTCGATCGTTACAAGTGGAGTAAGATGCATGACCCATGATCCTAGCGACTGGAGAGCAATAGGAAGCAAAAACAAGCACCAACCACCGCCACCGCGTACCCGTGTTTGTCCCGCCCCCAACGATCCTCTCGCTGCAACAGATAGAAGAGCTAAGACGATACAACTCTGCCATGCACGGGCGCACCTCGACGTTGAACGGAGGCGGCACGGACTTCGGGGGTCCCGTGCGAGAGGCCGCCGCGGAGGTAAGGCGGGAATGTGCTCTATTTGCTTTTGGCCGTTTTTTGAAGTTTTCTTTTTTTGATCGTTTTTTGTGTTTTTGTTGGCCGTGCTTCTTCTTGCTGTAGTCGAACGTCAGCCAAATCGCCTTGCCGTCAGCTCAGCCAAAGCGCCTTGTCATGCTCTTGCTGTTTGTAGTGTCGCTGTTATGCTTTGGCGATGTTTGGCGGTGTGTGCAGCATTGCTTACCACATAGAGCTCCAAAGCTACCTCGCCGGTTACCCCCCCCCCCCCCCTCCGAAACACGTATCCCCCCCCCCTCCGGGATTTGAGAGGACGTGAAACAGACTCGGTGAGCGACGAATCACTAAGGGTAACCCACATGGTGAACGCTGGTGCCCCCCTAACCAGCTCCCTGTATCCCAACCCGCGCACTCCCTATGCCCCTCCCGCCCTCCCGCCTTCATAGCTGGACGACTTTGCTGAAAGACTCGGACGCGATTCGAGAAGCGAGGGAGGAGGGGAGGACGCCGGACGCGCTGCTGCCGATGGGCGCCCCCGATGACTACAAGGCTCCCGTGAAGGCCAAAGGGATAGACCTCGGCATTGTGAGTAGTACGCTTACCGTAGGGTGATACCATAGCCCCCGGACCGAGCTCGATTACTCCACGGCGCAGAGAGTGGCGGTACCGGAGGCGTTGGAACCGTCTCGTCGAGAGCTTTTCCGGTAATGTCTTTGTAAATCCCCTTCGTCGTGGAGTAGTTGACCTTTTGAGATGAAAGTTGGTCCAAAGGGGTGTGCTATCTTAGGTCGGTATTTTGGCGGGCCAACGCCGCGCTCCCACGCTCTCTTAAAAGGTAGCTGATGCATAGAGCGGTCGGTCATTGTATGTTGATACGTATTGCTGCCCGGCCGCAGCGCAGTATCTTTGTTGTCGTCGTAGTCGTTTGCTTTTGTCGTTGCCTTCGTTGCTTCTGGTGCTGTTGCTGTTGCTGCTGTTGCTGTTGCTGTCGTTGGGAGGTCGATCGCCGGGTTGTGTCGGGTGTTCCAGGTGTTGCCGTGGTTTTGATTTTCCTTCAACCCCCTCCCTCAAACCCACAGCTGTCCTGCCGGCCCATCCATACAATATATCCAAAACGCTGCCGGTCTATTGACAGCAAAGCTTCCAGTATGAATCCATCCTTCCAGCCTCCAAAGAGGGTCTATTGCCGCAAACCCTTCCATGGCGAATATCAAATCCCGCTAGCCTCCAGATAAAAACAAAACAAAATAAAAAGGAGCTCCTGCGCAACTCATTTCCACCGCCTGCTTCCGACAATCATTTCCAGCGATGGTTCCCCGCCCTCTTACGGCTGTCTATCCTTTTACCCTTTGAATCTCGAACACGATGCAGGACGACGCCTTCGGAATTGTCCCGCAAGGCTCTATGGGTGCCAAGTTCGACCTGAAACAGGTGCCGGGTCTGTACGAGGGTAGACCTGACCGCTACTTCGACGACAAGGCCGATCCCAGGAAGAGAAGCCAGGGGGTGGAAGACAGCGACCACACCAGACAGGTATGTATGCGTGGGGTTTGAGTGTTAAATAGTACAATATCGACCGTGCTACCGGGTGACAAAACGTCTGTTCTGACCCGCTTCTCTGTTCTTTTCACCCCTTTGCCACCCCTCGCCGGCGGCCTCCGTTCTGTTTTCCGTCACCATCACACCCGCCCGATGGCATGTCATGTCATGTCATGGCATGGCGTGGCATCCAGGCCCAGGCTGTGGACCTACTAGACCTAGACATCGGAGGAGAGACCACGCCCACGGCCAGCGTGCCGGAGGCCCAAGACCTAGTTGTGAGTTGGCTAGGTTTTTAGAGTCAAGTCGAGTTGAGAATTCTTGTTGGCAGCCGCATGTAGAAAGAGTTCTGAGGTTGTTACATAGCACACAGCAGAAGGAGCGAGCCGGCGTGGATCCCATGTGTGCGTATACGTACATGTGTCGCCCGCTGGCAAGCCGCGGTACGCGAAAGGAGCGAATCCGGTTGAGATTTTTTCCTGGGAGCCGGATGAAGACAGACGAATGCACAGCTTGAGGATGTTGTTATTGCACACAGCACTTGTGTTTGAGAGTTTCAAGCCCAACCAGAGTTCCAGGTCTCCCTGTTGCCTAACGGCATCCATGAGAACGCAGGCTTGTTTCGTCCTGTGATCCTGCGAGTCGTCCCCGCAACTTGTTTGCCTTGGTTCTGAAGCCGTCTCGTCGTCTTTGGGGGTGAGCCCGGGCTCGAGAGTGGTTAGTTGAACCCCCCCCCCGCCCCTTGTCTCGCTTGCTCCTTCCCTCATGTGCTTGACGGTTTCAGGCGCCGTCTGTGCCGGCCGCCGTGCCTGGCTTTTCGTTTCGCCATGGTGTGTGGATTCTTCCAGAGTGTTGTTCCCCAGAAGCTGTGATCGAGCTGGGGGAACCTCCCGTTTTAAGCACCCAAGGTTCCTCACGGCTCTTCTCTTCCCAGTCTCTCTCCCCGCTGCTTTCTGCTGCCGTTCGTTTGGTTTCTCCGCTGCCGCTATACCCCCCCCCCCCCCCCCCTTTTTTTCCCCCCATATACAAATAATAC